AAGACACGATGCCCCCAGCTTGAAATCTAAACCATGGAACCGAAACCCTACCTGAAAACACCCAACTTACAGAAGAGAATCATAACAAGAAGCCCCGAACACGTAGGCTTTCGTACATTCTAAACTGGCCATTGAGCTAAGCACTAAATCTGGCCAGTTTGGGGATGCAGGTAGGTGGGTTGCAGATGAAGGATCCCTTACATAGGTTTAGTGAAACTGAAGGCTTAGTGTTTCAGGTTGAGGGATAAGGACTCGTGCTTGAGGCCCATTAAGGCCCTTTCGCCTGACCTTGAGCTTACTCGGCAGGCCTTCCGAGGAAGCCGGGACCTCGGCGAGCATGGCTCTCTATAACACGGCATATTTGGACAAATAAGCGTGCATAGATATTTGTATATATATATATACACACATGTATACGTGTGTATGAAGGTATACGAACATATTTACTTGTGTAATTAACAGTATGCATAAACGCATGCATCGTGAACGCACAAACAAAAAACCGATCCCCTCGTGCTTGTGTCTCGAGGCGCAGGACGATGCGCAGGTCCTGATCTTGCAGGGGGCGAAAGACCTGGAGGCTCCACTGCGAGCCGACGACGGAGTTCCTTAGGGCTTTTGGAGTTACAAGGCTGAAAGGCTGATAAGTTTTAGCGGCTTGTTGGGCTTATAAGGGACTTGGCGTTTCCGGTTTCTAGGAATCCAAGCCCGAAACAGCGAAAGCTCATAGGATAGAGCCTGGTCTTTCGCAGATAACCGCAAGCTTAGATCCCATTCCCAGCCATTCCCATCGATTCCCAGGTTGGATGTAGGGCCCGTGCGAAGGATCCGTAGAGCCACGGCCACGGAGAATCCCCAAAGCGGAGGACCGCAAAAAGACTTTCAACACGCCAGGATCCCGAGTCCGAGGCGGCGATCGACCTCACACCGCCCGGCCTTCCCAGAGGGTTTGTTCATATTTCAATATATGGATAGATAATGTGTGTGAAATATAAATATATATATATATATATATATATATATATATATAAATATATTGTTATTCTATATAATTCCACATCATGCGTAGTATACGTTGTATGACTATATATTACTGCACCAAGCCCAAACTTACAGACCCCGGTGAGGGAGCTGCGTGCGTTGCGAGGTGGCAGTGTCCGTCCAACGCTCAATAGCTGGCAACACAGCCTCAACCCGAACTTCGAAGACAAGAGGGACAACAGATAGACAGATAGACCCTCTAGGTAGGGCTTTGGGACATTTTAAATTTTCCCTTATTGGGCTTAAGAGGATCTTATTTACTAATATTTTTCAAAGGCTCTAAAAGCCCCACCTAGCCCTTCATAGTGGCATCATGATCGCAATGACGCTCAGACAACCCAGGGAGCCGGGAGCCCCGGACCTCAGAGCCCTAAGCCCGAAGCCCCAGACCCAGAATCCTAACGCCAGATCGCAGAGCCTTGCCCTTTAGCAACCCATGCCCTTGAGGCCCCCATCAAGGTCACAAAAGGCCACCCCAAGCTTTTCGGGTTTCGTTAGCTAGGTGCTTCCCCTGAAAAAACCCCAGCTGCCGAAATCTCTAAGTTCCATCTCGACAAGAAACCTTATGCGATCCTATGCGAGCCCTTATAAGATGGACCCTTGCAATGAAACCTCGGCGAAAAAAGTAAGGTACTGTAAAACTTCCTCCCACCATGTTAAGACTCCATACAGTAAAGCCTTTTCCAACTGCAAGTGAGCCTTTTACATTACACGCTCTTGGAAGCTTTCCTTCCCTCAGAGCTTAGAGAAGGTCGGCGCCGCTCTTCGACTTGGTGCGGAAGGTGCCCGAGGTGTCCATGGAGGAGCCTTGGTTGGGGCTTGGGGTTTGGGGTTTGTAAACCAGAACCCAAGTAACCTGAATCTCAGCACCGGAATCGCCCAATCTGAGGCCCCCAAAGGGAGTTTCAGGAAATTAAGGCGGAGAGAAGTTTATGAAACCCCAGCCGGGAACAGGATCTCTGCCGCAATGTGGCGATTCCACAGCAGAGCCCGGGTCTTTGCCATGCAGGGGTTTCAAGCCGGGTTTGCACTGGGACTGTGCGCCTGTATGCATGCTGAACTTTTAATCTTTCCATCCGTCCACCAGTCCACCTGTCCACTTGTCCACTTGTCCGCCTGTCTGTCTCTCTACCTACAGTACCTACCCACCTGTGTACCAGTTTACCAATCCCCATCTACCTGTCTACTTATCTGCCTATCTGTCTACCTATCCACCTATGTTAGCTTCATTAACATACCTATGTATCTATCTGTCTCTCTGTCTATCCATTTTGTCTCGCTAGCTAGCCAGCTAGCGAGGCAGCTTGCGAGACAGCTATCAAGCTGTCTAGCTACATCCAGCCGTCCATGTGCATGTGTCTAATCTGTGTACTTAGCTAACTAGCAAGCTATCCAGCTAGCCAACTATCCGTCAATCCACTTGTCAATCAAGTTGTCTATCTATACATGAACTGGATGCTTTGCCTGGGCAGCTGTGGTTATTGAAACTTTAACTTGTGGTGTGTATGCACATGGTTTCTTTTCATATTAACGTCTGTGTGCGTGTGTTCATGCGGATGTATTGCATGGGTGCTCATGAACAGCTGTTTCTTGGAGGAGTTTAGGGATGTGGCTCGGGTTTATAAGGTTTCCATGTCTGCTCCGACTGCCCATCCGTAAAGCTTTTCGAGCTTGAAAGTTCAGGACTTCCATTTTGGTCGTGCGCTCTTCTGCCGGCGGTGCTGCAATCTCTCACATCTTCGAGCTCACCCCCGTGTAGTTTGTTTAGGTTTTACGTTTGATCTTTAACATTGGGTCCAGACGTTGCTTCAGTGACTTTGCACCCCACGACCTTCAGACCTCTCCACTCCACAAAATCTAGAGCCCAGCACCCAAGAAGCAACACCCCAAGGCTCCCACAAGCCCTAGCTTTGGGAATTGGGGCCCAAGACTAAGACAGTCAGGCTAGGGCTTCAGGCTACAACCAGCCAGAAATCAGAAACACCCACAAGACCTCCCCGGCCTATGGCTTTCTGGGCGCTGCTGAGCCTGTCTTGCTTGCTGACGCAAGCAGCCGTTCCCCCGTGGCTTCAAGAGGCGACGGGCTGGGGATTTCTTGCCAACGAGTGGTTGGGGTGTGCCTTGGTTTGGGGTTCTGGGTGTGTAGGGTTTCTTGGCGGACGGCTTCAGGGCTGTCGCGTGTAGGGATTCCCGAAAACCTATGGAAAAGCCTTGACACAGAGTTTCTTGTCCCACGGATTGAGCTAAGGATATAGAGGGGGTTCTTAGCGCAGATTGAGTATTAAGGGTTTCATGGGCCAATTCTTCAACATGGGGGTCTCGTCATCAGCTTCAGGAACCCAAGGCCTAAGGTGACTTAAACGGCCCTTAATGCAGAGGTGGAATCCGCCCTGAACCCTAAAAAGCCCTAAGCTGCCAAACCCTCAAACACTTGAATCCGGAACCGAGCCCCCAAAGTTTACCCTGTGTCCAAACTGACGCCGTTCCCCTTTGCAAAAGCCTAAGCCTCTCCCTCTTGGCACTCCTAAACCCTAAACCGCTCCTCCTTGGAGAAAAGTAGATCCCATAATGGAGGTTCCTATAAAGTACCCTTAGTAGTATAGGGCCCCAAAATCAGGGGATCTACTTTCTAGATCCTCCCGAATGGCCCTAAACCTGATAATCCTTGGAGGATGGCCTCGGAGAAACAGAGGGCGAGCGTCTGGAGATGAAGTGGCCGCCGGCGCGGGAGCCGCGGAGTAATCGTGTGGCTGGTCCGAGAGTTCTCTGGGCTATAGGGCCTTTGGGGCCTGTAGGGTTGGGGTCAGTTTGGGGTTTGGGAAGTTTAGGGGTTAAACACTTCGTGTTCAAGGGTGGAGGGGGATTGTGGGGTGCTTTGCAGTCAGGGTTTTTGTAGCCTACATCTAGAGCTCTTTGGAATATGCAGGTTCATGTTAAATTTGCTGAGTACTTGATGTAACTTCATGTGCTACAGGTTTCAGTCGTAGCAAGTTTGATATTCTTGTCAACAAGCCTTCAGCGAATGACAGGTTGAACTGTTTGGATTCTGAGCTCGACTTCCTTGTGCCAACAGTTTCTGCTTCAGACCCCAACTTCCGAGGCAACCTGCTGAACGCCACAGCAGGGCGTAGGACGTTTAGGGCCCTACGACTTCGGCTGCACCCCCCCCAAGGTTCCGGGTTCAGGGCTCAGGGTAGACGGACTCGTGAGCACTACCCCGCTTGTGTTAGCACGGAACCCACATGGTCACGACATCAAGTGTATGCTCTACGCGACATTTAGGGTCGAGGATGGCCCCCTCAGAAGAACAGCAGGTCAACGTCACGATGATTCTTACAGATGCTGCTTGGCAGAGAGACTACACCCGCAATTCATAGCCATTATGTCCTGAATCTCAACGCTTCAAGCGGGGCTTCCCCAACATCCGAAACCTAAACCTGACCCCTCCAAAACGGAACCTCTCGTCACACTGGCGAGCTGAAAGCCTGTAAATACTCGAAACCCCAAGCCTGAAACCCTAATAACTGACTGCACCGACGTTCGAAGCCACCCAAGCAGACAGCTCCTGTCTAGTGATGGGATAAGGCCTTGACAATTTGGATCGGGTTCTGGGACCTCTGTCTTCGTGAAATTGTGATCCCTATCATAGGAACCCTAAACTCTTGCAATTCTGAGTTGCTACTTCTATTATACTTAGGGCATCGTGGAGAGGATTGCCAAAACCTCAAGGGCCAGTGAGGAGGCGCAAGAAAGTGAAGTTGACGGGAGAGCCATCGCCGACAGAAATCCAAGCATGTCCGAAGGCTTCCTGGCCGCAGGCGATCCCGACAGTAAACCCTGCACTCTCGAGCTTCGGGGATGATGTCAAACATGTGACCTACTGAACCTGACAGCACTCTCAAGATTCAAAGGTGCACAGTTTCGATGAGCCTGGGGAAAAAATCACTGTCTACGCCTTCATGAGGCTCTGGTGGTGCCTTGTTCGAAGACAAGTCTAGCTGAGCATTGAAACCTGCGACGCGAACCACTAGCCAGAAATCCAACCCCAAAGCATCCGAACATCGCCATTTATCCCCACACACATGCTCAACCCTGAACCCTAATCTTACCAGAGGGCATCATGAGCCCAGGAAAGAGGTCATAGCAAGGATGAGGCTTAGAGGGGTTTTCGGGCTTGGCGTTTTGGGCCCTAGGGCCAGGAGACTGATCATGCTCGGTTGGTCCGGTTTCGGTGACTTGTTATGAATGACTGGAGTCCAGTCTGGGTTCTCATTTTTCCGTCTGGGGTTTCGATTGTATCTTCGACCAAGATGCGGCAGACTTCGACTTTTCTTTGACAACATCCGCAATTTGAGCCTGAAGTCGTCAACTATCAACCCGAAATGTGCTGCCCGAATCCCTAAACCCTAAGACGTGAACAATAAGGTTGCGAGCACTGAGCCCTATAGCATGTTCATCTTCTCAGGAGAGATACTCGTTGGCGACAAGCGATGCAAAAACAGGCGGCATGTCGGATTGGGGCTCTTGCTTGTGGATCCCAGCTTTGTGTTCTGGAAGGGGCTCATGCGTGTTCCAGAAGGGTTTTAGAGCGGTGTTCCGGGCTTTTACGATGGCTTTACAAGATCATGTCGGGGGCTGTTGGTAGATTAGAGGCTTTGAGGGACGCTTCGTAGGCTTGCAGAAGGTTTCGTTCTATTTGGGGGCCTCTCCTTTGTGGCGTCTGGGTTTCGAAGCCGCTGCCGTGTAGATTTTGGCAGTTCAAAAGAAACTGGACCTTCTGGTGCCGAAATTTGGAGGTGTCCTTCTCGAGGATCCTGCAGCAGTTCGTCAGGTAGGCTTGTGTGAAGCTTTCATCTAAAGCTTTTGGTGTGTTGTACTCAGGATGCCCAGGAGATAGGGTTTGGTCCCTGAGGGCATATGCATTTTTCGGGCGAGTTTCAGACGCTTGGGAGCTCGCGTGGGAGCTCGCTGAAAAACCAGAAAACTACCGTGTGCAGGATCCTTACTACAACGCCCCAATCGTAAGAACGCAAGGTGGATGGATTCTGCTCGGCTTCGACAGGCTGGGGCATGCATTTTGTCCATAGCTGGAGCTGTAGGTGATAGACAATACGTTCGAAACACTTGAGGTGGCTACAACTACCCTGCAAATCCCAATCTTTCTTTAACCCCTGCAGCACCCCAAAAAGATGCCAACGAGCCGTGCAGCTCTTCCATGTTCCTGATCCAACTGCCAGAACTCCTCTACCCCAACCCTGCACAGAATTGATAGTGTTCCAGGTTTGATGTTTCGGCATTTTGGGAAGAAGACCTGCGGGCGGAAAGCTCTAAGCATTTACGACACATTGCAAGTCCAAGCCCTTGCAGGGGGCTGCAATGCTTCGGACAGGCCGGGTCAGCTTGACCCCCAAGCCCTAAGTTGTTTGTGGGAAGCCCTTGGGACATGGACACTTGAGTTGCCGGAGATTCTAATTTCATGTCCAGTATGGTTTGGGATCTTGGGCTTCGGACCACCGTGTTTTGTCGTTGAGTTTTGTCGGTGTTGAGGTGGAAGGTCCAGGGCTTAGGCCTAGGGGTTGTTGCGGATGTTCTAGTGTTTTTTTCTGCTTTTGTTGTTGCGGTGCTGTTTCTTGTGTTCGACACACGTGTTTCCCGTCTGGTTCACATTAGCAGTGTTGTCTACATGTCGTGTGAAGCGCCAGGAAGTCCTTTCAATTTTCGCAAAACTTGTGTCAGTTTGCTGTGGCATTGTAGAAATGCCCTGAGCTGAACTAAGCGCCCACACCCCGCAGCTCAAGCAAGGACAAGCCAGAAGTGTCAGAACCAATACCGGAAAATTAAGTTCACTAACTGCGACTTTAAGATTTGTCCCGTCATTCGGCGCTTCGGTGTTACGAGAGCTTCAACAACAGTCCTGAACAACCAAGCGCATTTCACATAAGCTGGCACAAAGCCCAAAGCCCCCGCGCAAAACCCTCAACCCTCAACTAGCACGAATATGGACCCGTGATGTATGGGAAAAAACCTTCTCTTTCAGGGCTCGAGTATGAAGATCCCTGCCACAACCCCTAAACAAGGGGAGGGTTGTATAATCAGGGATCTACATTAAGCTGCAAGCCCAAATCCACAGACCCCAAAAGAACCCAAATCCAAAACCAGCCCCAAAGCCCAGAACGACATACGAAGCACGCCCGCAAACCTAACAAAGACCTAATGAACCCTACAGAACCTGAGCTGGGCAGGGAATTGGCCAAGCGATGGATGGACGACCGGCTCAACTCAACCATCTTCGGACAGACGGCGGCCACTTGGCGGTGGCTTTTTGGTGGGTCGTCTCAGGTTGAAGCGTTTACGGCTTGAGTGAGACCTTTTCTTCTTTGATTTTTGGGCTGTAGTATGAGGGCCTCTGACAGGAGCTTCTGCAAGGGTGTTGGTGCCCTTTCTTGTAGTTGCAGTTTTTTCGTTGCATCGTGGTAGCCTGGTTGCATTGAGTATTTTTCAGTTTCTCCAGTCTGAGAAAGCCTTGAAGCCTTGGGTTCCCGAGTCGGGTTCACGAGAGCCTTGCAAGGCCATCGTAGATTGTGGGATTCATTGTGGGTCTGGTTCCTGTATCTGAGCTAGCCAGGGGCCGAAGCTCTGCTTTAGCGGTCATTGCAGCTGGCAGCCCTTCATGCTCCTAGATTCCGGAGCCATCAGCCTTTCGACTATTTAGGTATGCTGTTTTGAGGAAAGGTCTACGAACTCCAAGACAGGCCCCGCTCCGCTCCCCCCCCCCCGCACCCACCACTCCAAAAAGGAGCAAAAGCAAGCTTACCGCAAGCATCTGAACCCTGCATGCCATTGCCAACTTCAGTCGAGATCCCCCAGTTCAACCCCCCAAAACGGGCCTTCGAAGACTCCAAACCTCCACTCCTTTCCGCCCCCGGAAACCACCCCGCAGAAACCAGTCCTTCAAAAAAAAGGGGGCTGTTGGAACAGAGTGTAAGCCACCCTAGACCCTTGCGCCAAGGAGTCCTTCTTCGAGTCCACCACGGGCTTCGGAAGAGAGCTGGGGCTGGAGATGAACGGCAAAGCCTCCCGGAGCAAGTTTTGGGAGTTTGATTCGGGGTGTCTTGCTGTTCTTGCGACCTTGTCCTCTAGCGGTGTGGAGGGCCTTCCGCCATCTAACACAGTCAAAGTGCCTCACCGATCCCATGGTTTAAGGCTCAAATCCCATCGAACGTCAGCAGCTCGCTGTCGTGGGTTTGGGGTATAATTTGTTCTAATTGCTTAGTATGGGGCCACGCGTTTGTAGGAGTTACTGTGCAGGTGCGGGTAGGGTACAAGGTGTAGGCTTCCTTGGGTTTGTAAGATGGATGCCGTCATGCCGGGCATTTTGCAAACCCGGGTCTGCTTACTTTCCTAGGCTCCGGCAGCAGTCACGAAATACCAAACTACAAGGGTTCAGGGGTTTAGGAGACATGACAGCAGTTGGAGTGGCAGCAGGGTTCGCAGGGTTTCGGGCCTAGGCGAGTGAACGGAATGATTGAAAGGCCGGGCTTTTATTCCAAAACCGACATCTAGATCCGTGATTTCATGAATTAGGGTTCCAAGTTAGGGGTTCGTGTTGTGGAGGCTGTACTTAAAATCAACATCGGTGTCCTGAAACTTGCAAGTCCCAAATGTGCCAAGCAACTGTAAGCATCTCTGAACTTCAGAGCACATTCCCTCAACGCCCTGCTGATGGGTGCTTTCTTGCCTTGACAGTTCCAGGATTCAGGGTTTAAGGCCTGAACCCTGAAGCCTGAACTCCAAACTCTGTACGGTACCTTAGATCCTGCTGGTGCATCCCAGGTTTGGACTCCCATCCCTCCAAACTTGATGCTGAACACTGCCTCTAATCCTCTGGGGAAGACGGAGTTCGCTCCCTGACGGATGTTAGGCAACACCTCTCGTGGGGTTTAAGGTTTCGGGAGTAAGGACCAGTGAGTTAGGAGGTAAAGGTAAAGAAGGAGCAGGAGGAGGAGGAGGAGGAGGAGGAGGAGGAGCAACTGATGCCGCCACAGCAGTCGTCGTCATCATCATCATCATCATCACCATCACCATCATCATCGTCAGCACCACCATCATAAACAGCATCAGCATCACCACCATCATCATTAATCAACATCAGCATTACCACCATCATCATCACCATGACAATCATCTTGTCATCACCGTGGTCAGTTTCAGCATTATCATCATCACCCACATCATCAACATCACCATCAGCACCATGATCACCATCATCACCATGATCACCATGATCACCATCACCACCATCGTCACCACGATCAACGTTCACACTTTCATCATCATCGTCATCATCATCACCACCAACATCATCACCCACATCATTCGCACCGTCATCGTCATCATCATCATCATCAGCATCAGCATCAGAATCGTCATCATCATCCTCGCCCTCCTCCTCCTCCTCATCATCATCATCAACAACATCGCCATCGTCGTCATCGTCATCCTCTTCAATGCCATCATCCGAATCCACACTACTTCCATCACGGAGACGATGAAATTCAGCACCATGGTACTCTGTTGTTGCTGCTGTCGTCGTTGTCATGGTCTTGGTTGTTCGTTATTGTTGGTGGCTGTTCTTGGTTGTGGTTGTTGTTGTTGTTGGCTGTTGTGGGTTGGCTGCTGCTGCCGCTGCTGCTGCTGCCGCTGCTGCCGCTGCAGCCGCTGCTGCTGCTGCTGCTGCTGCTGCTGCTGCTGCTGCGCTTTTTGGTTTTGTTGCTGCAGCGACATGCATAGCTGCACATGCATGCATGTCGTCAGTATGCTCACGCGAGAGAGTCGTCCAGCCGTCCTATATGTGTGTAGTTTGTTTGCTGCTGCCAATGACGATGAAGAAGCTGAAGGAGAGGATGATGATGAAGCTGAAGAAGAGGAGCAATATCATGATGCTGGTGATGGCGAGGATGAAGAAGATGAAGCTGATGAAATAGATTGAGATATGATGGAGATGAGAATGATGAAGATGGCCCTGAAGCGAATTCCACACGGAATCTCCAAGCTGTCGAGCTTACTACGGTTTTGGGATGCAGCTTACATCTTCGATAGTCACTGATGGTCACTGTTTGGCTTCCGGGGGTGCTGCGTTGCACACCGGGATCTTGCCCATGCCAGCCAGACCCAGATATCTCCTTGCTTGGATTCCTGCGGCAGCTTCATGCAGGTAGTTACCAGGGGTCTTTTCTCTCCAAGCTCCTGTCCCGACCATGTTACGAAGGATCCCATCATCAGCCTCACGCAGCTCGAAAACGGGGATCTCGCAGCTCGGCTTCCAAGAGCACCAAACAGTGAAAGTGCAGCAACATCTCCAACATAGAGGCCTTAGCAATCAGGTTTTGGGGTATATTGGGGACAATCCGGGGTATGTGTTACTCAAGATTCAGGTTTTTTGCTCCTCATAGCCCTACTAATCTTCAAAGACTGGTTGATTACAGCCAGGAGGGAGGCACCTACTTGCAAGCTTGCACACAGCCTCCCAAAATTCTCCTCTTGATTATCTCTCGTTTCCAGGCGGCCGAGGACGGTAGTACAAGCAAGCTACACACTCGGGTTGATATCCCCAGCACAGTCAACATACATTGCTACAGAGGCCCCGGTTCAGACTGTGATCCCATACCGTATGCAGTCGTACCTTGTATACTAGATTGCGGGGCCGCTATCCATGAAGGCCACTACACCGCCAGACTCATCAATCACCTACCGTGGTCGTGGTCGTGGTAGCCGTAGTGGTAGCGGTAGCGGTGGCGGTAGTGATAGTGGTAGTGGTGGTAGTAGCAGTAGTAGTCGCGGAGGTGGTGGTGGTGGTGGTGGTGGTGGATGCGGCAGTGGTAGTAGTAGCAGCAGCAGCAGCAGCCGCAGAAGAGGTAGTGCTATTGTTTTCGTGGTAGCCATGGTGCACCCTAGGCTTGAGGCTCTAGACAAAGGCCACGTAGACTTCCAACTCGAAAGAAAGCCACCAAACTCCTCCTTAGTAGGTGTTCGGGATGTTTGTGTACACAGAAACTCAAAAGCGATGCTAAAGTTATAGTCTGAAACCGCACACTCCGTAAATCCTAAACCCTACGCCTACGCTCGCAGGAGGCATGGTGGGTTGATAGGGCAAAGACTTCCTTCGATGTGTCTCTTACCTACGAGTGCCTCGGAAGGGAGGTTTTTCGGATTTAGTAAAGGGCGTCTGAATAGTCATAATTCATAATGATATCCCATTAAGGTCCCTTATCATATATTAGTAGTTTTCTATCTTAGGAATTGGGGTTTAGAGGGTTTGGGGTTCATGGTTCAGGGTTCGGGGGTTTGGGGAGTTTAGGATTCATAGTTCTGCAAAGATTCATGGTTTCTAATTCAAAGGCTCTATCGACATGATAGAGGGTTTAGGGTTCGGGAATGATGTTTCCCTGACCTGCATTGCAAGTGACTTCCCCCTCTATGCCGGGGGCCTCGGGTTTCGGGGTTCACGAACCCTACCAGCAAATTGCTCCGAAGTTGGAATGAAACTAGGGGAGGAATCCCAAGGAAGAGTTCATATAAGAGGTTGATCGGTCAGATATGCTCAGATCTTGAACTGAAGCGCAACCCTTGCACTGGCAGCCGACGACCTGGCCTTGAGATTCAACCTAACACTCAATCCGAAGCCCAAACCCTGAAATCCCAAGCCGAGCCAAGTCGTAGCAAAGCCGCCCGCACCTACTTACAGAAGACTCTCCGCCGCTCTCCCTGCCTGGTCAACAGCCCCAAGTCCTGAAGCCCAACTCTCACCCTCCACCCCAGACCCTGACCCGAACCCACGCAGTGGTTTCTGAGGGTTTTCCTTATATCAAGTAATCCTACTTTTGAAGATCTGTGACACTCGCTCGTGCTGTCCAGCTCTTGGCCCTCCTGTTTCCGGTCTACGAAACTTAGTTTGAATCACCATAATTACTCGGGACGCAGAATGGCACGCTTTGCTTCCATGGTAGCTGAAGTTACGTTCCGTAAGAACTCTCAGGCACTTCCCGTTCGACACGCAGCACTTGGAGCGATTTTGGCTGCATCTAGCAGGCGTTGCGGGTATTGCCACGAGGCCACCCCACACCCGAACCCCGAACTCAGAATCCTGGAAAAACGCGAGGGTTTGGGGTATTGAGTTCGGGGCACAAAACCGAGGCTTGGGGGCTTTTCGATGACTGGCTCATGAAACTCCGGTGGAGCTGCCTAAGCTCCACAAAATTCAAGACCCTAAATGAGACTGAAAGCCTTCTAAGCCCTGCCAAACCGCCAGCCCAAACCCTAAACCCGAAGCCCTGAACGCTGAGCGCTAAGTCCGAAACCCCCCGGACGAAAGCCCAAGCCGTAAATCCTAAGCCCAGTTCTTGCAGAGTGAGACGGGCTTCCCGACTCAAACCTCATCGAGCATGCTAGATCCGTCGACATAAGCCGGCGGCAAGAGGAGTCAAACAACAAAAACCCTGTGCCCCAAGCCCCACGCTCGAGGCTATGCATTCCCTTTGACTACTTCTCCGACCCCTACGTGCAGGATTCACTGGAAGGCGGCATGGCTTCAGAATGCTGCTCCAGCTCCCACTCTCACTTCTCCCTCCCACCCAGGCCCAGACCCCGTACTCCCACTGATCCTGCCACTTGCCCTCTCATCCTCTGCTACTTGCCCTCCTCCTCCTCTTCCTCCTCCTCCTCCTCGCCTACTCCACATACTCCACATACTCCACCTGGTCCACCGGCTCCACGGCCTCCTATTCCTACTACTCCTGCTCCTAATCCTAAGCCCAAGCCTGACCCTAAGCCTAAGCCTCCGCCTATATAAGCCTGAGCCTCAGCCTCAGCCTAGTCCTAATCCTCCCAATCCTTCGCCTGCTCCTGCTCCTGCTCCTTCTCCTTGTTTGCGATCGGCCTCCGCTGTGTACCGTAGTCACGTGCTCATGCATTCGAAGCGTTTTCGACATCTTCCTCTGCTGGTTTTCAAGCGCAAGCTGACTGCCGCCTTCTGCTTCTGCTTCTGCTCCTGCTCCTCCTCCTCCTCCTCCTACCACGACGACTATTACTTTTCCTGGCAGCGACTACAGCTGCTGCTACTGCTGCTGCTGCTCCTCCTCCTCCCCCTCCTTCTACTGCTACTACGAAATACTGCTACTACTAAATACTGCTACTACTACTACTACTACTACTACTACTACTACTACTACTACTCCTACTACTCCTACTACTCCTACTACTCCTACTACTCCTACTACTCCTACTGCTACTCCTACTGCTACTTCTACTGCTACTGCTACTGCTACTGCTACTGCTACTGCTACTACTACGACACTGGCACTACTACTCGTGCTACTCCTGCTTCTCCGCATCCTCCTCCTCCTCCTCCTGCTACTGCTACTGCTACTGCTACTGCTACTGCTACTGCTACTGCTACTGCTACTGCTACTGCTACTGCTACTGCTACTGCTACTGCTACTGCTACTGCTACTGCTACTGCTGCTACTGCTGCTGCTGCTTCTGCTGCTGCTGCTGCTACTGCCACTGCTACTGCTGCTGCTGCTGCTACTGCTGTTGCTACGACCAGTAAGAGAACATGTCTGATAGCAGTCACTACAGTGACCCTCACATTCATGATGATGAATGATGGTGATGATGCTGACCACAATGGTCGCCGGGAGTAAACGCAATAATGTTCAGGGTCTTAAACAACAGAAACAACAACAAACAAAAGGAAGCATGACGCATGTGAATCCAGACCCCGACTTAACTAAAGCCGCGAAGCCTGAGGCCAACCGAAACACTAACCCACCGGCCCTCTAGCCCCATGCCATAAATTTTACGCCTTAAACTTCAAATGTCTGAGGCAGACAGCGGTGAACCCTCAGGTCCTAAAGCCCTCCAACAAAAAACTCCCACAGCCCTAAGCCTAGAGTCTAGAGCCCTCACAGCCCCGAGGCCCCAACACTGACAACCCAATGGACCGGGCCTGTTTTTCTTTTTATGCGGGGGAACTTCTTTGGGTAGTTTCTTCTGTGTGTTGGGGCCTAATCTTGCAGGATCTTTGTTTGGGTATCATGGGGTATCAGGGTGACAGGGTGCTTGTTGAGACCTCGGGTTTTGGCATGTACTTGGCTTCGAGGTATAGGAATCGTGCTTCGCTGCATAGTGTTTTCTTCTGGGGTCTGTTTGGGGTGACTGGATCCGGAACCCAAGCCAGACACGCTCCTGTTGCACATTTTCATGTAGCAGCGCAACTATCTGTAAAGTACACAACAACTTCCAATTAACTGATGTACGAGCAAGCGCACACATATCCAGCAAGCATACGATACACACGTATGAATATGTGCAGACTGAGTTGTACTGAGTAGTTCGTCAGTCGGTGGTTAGTTCGTTTAGTTAGTCCACTGACTAATCAGTCAGCCACTCAGTGAAAATGCGTGATTGAGTTAGTCAGTTGGGCCTTTCGTTAGGCAGTTCAATCATTAGTTTAGTTTGTCGATTCGCTAGTTGTTCCTGTCGTTAGTTCGTTAGCTGAACCGTAAATTTCATCAGTTCGTGTCTTCGTTCGTTAGCTCGTTAGCTCGTTAGCTCGTTAGTTCGTCAGTTCGTTTGTTCGTTCGTTCGTGAGCTAAGTTTCGTTTCACTAGTTGGTCAGTGAGTGAGTGAGCGAGAGAGTGAGTGAGTGAGCGCGTGAGTGAGTGGATGAGTTGGCGAGTGGCTGACTGGGTGCGTGGTTGGTGGGGTGAGTGAGTGAATGAGTAAGTCAATTGGTTGGTTGGCCGCACCCCCGACCCCACCCCCGCCCTGAACTCGCTGCAGCCAACCAGACTGCATGCGCACATGCACATGCACGTCTCCTGTGTTTTTTCATCTATCCATCCTCCTCTTTTGTTCTGTCCTGTTTGCATTGATTTGCTCTTTCGTTCTTTTTGTTTTCGCTTCTTTCATCATCTAGCTTCCTTGGTTCCTGCCTTCTTTCCTCCATTCATTCAGCAATCGCTCTTTGACAGGTACACACATGCACACAGACATGCACATGCACGTACATGAAAGGCGAAACAGTCCAATCTTTTCATGCCCTATCTGCAGGAGATCGAAGAGTTTGCCACGAGGCCACGGGAGCGGCTTCGAACCCTAAGTCCTAAGTGGTAAGAGCGCCCCAAGACTTTGGGTTGAAGGGTTGAGGAGCCTGGGGCGTTTGGCGTTTGGGTGTCACGCACCCTTTGAGCGACTCAAGCTGCAGCCAAAGGTGGGATGGTGCGTCTCCAGTCTCGCCGGTAGCGTCCAAGAGCTTTGTGGCGAAGTTTCCTGGCCGACTCGAACTCTTTCTTTCGGTGTTTAAAGCAAGGAAGTGTTGTACGCAGACACGGGGGTTCTCGTGATTCCCGATTTTAGCGGTCTGCTCCGTCTTCTGTCTCGAAGGGATTAGAAACTTGAGGGGCTGGTTCCGGCAGGGAGTGTCTTTGGAAAGCACTTCTTGCTTTACCTTGGAGCTAGGGTTCCCTGGCCCTGACGGTGTGCAGCAGTAGGAAACAGGACCTCTTGCTCCCATTCGAAGGCACTGGCAGGGGCATGCAAGGAACTCTCTGTTGGACGCTGCTCGAGGTTAGAAAATCTCGGCTTCTCGGTGATTTCCATCGAACCCACCCGCGTGGACCTGTCGAGGGCAACGACCTCCATCTGCGTGAAGGCCCGGTTCACAGACACAACCGACAAACCATCCCCCCCTCTCTCTCTCTCTCTGTCGGTATCTGCGTCTCTATACCTCTGTCTCTGTCTCTCTCTTCCTCCCTCCGTTCGGTTTGTGCGTTGTATGTTGCATATTCTGCAGCACAAGTTTACGGATCATGTGTCCACTTGCTGAAGACCATGGCTGATGGGAAGACAACAATCGACGTCCCCGGAGGGTCAGGGCTGGCTTTCATATAGTATTCGGGCTTCCTGAAGGGAATCTAGTCTAGTGACTCCAGGAACTTTGCAGAATTCCTGAACCCGGGAATCCAAAAACCTTCCACAAGCCGTCCTAGCCGCCAGAAACTTTCCCGACCCGCCCGCGTGGTTTAGGGTGGGTCTTTAAAGCGACCCTCGACCAAGCAAACCCTGGAGCCAGAAAGGATTGCTTTCATGCCCAATCCATCCGCCCAATAGGGATTATTGAAGTGGGGATCCTGTGATTAAGGCCCTTCACACCAAGAAAGCTTGGCAATCAAGCGCCAGACAAGAACGCTCAATACGGCAAACCCGATGCATAAATCCTGAACCTCGGGGCAGTTAAGCTCAGCACTGCATCCTACCTACGTCTTGAGGCCTAAGTAGGCCGACACCCGAGGCCCCATAATGTGGAAGTAGGGTTCCGTATTTTCAACAACGCAGGGCATACCCTGACATTCTAGCTAGTCAAGATCCCTACATTAGCCAGCTTTGTCAGGTGACAGTGTCCCGACGCCTCTCGTCCGAGAGCAGTTTCGGGATTCGGGATTTAGGGTTCAGGGAGCCCTTGGGTAGAGGGCTTCGTGGCTTTTTCGAGTTTTCCACGGGGCCTCAAAAGGGGTTCCCGGGCGAAATAGCTTTTCTGCGTGTTTCGTGGATCATGCCAGAAGTGCTGGAAGTATACTGTAAACCCTGCCTGTTTGGTTCTTTTGCATTCAATGCTGTCGGTGTTTCCGACTTTCTGGGTGTCTAAGAGTTCGGGTCGGAAGGCTTCTCGGATGCAGAGGGCCTGCCCAGAATTTCTTCAGGGACTGTTCCAGCAGGTGGGAGGGTGGAAATTCATGGCATGGATTCGTGCAAGCCTTCAGTGGGGCAGCACACTCGAATAAAGCTCCCTGCCGCCCGAACGGCCCGTTTGGCACCCATCCTTCTGTACCAGGGATCACCATCCTCATCCTCCGATTCTTTTGGCCCTTGACAGCTCTGTGGCCTGCCTGCAGGAAGCAGGGATGGAGGCATGGCTTTGTAATATATAGAGGTCATAACAATTATAGTAACTTTCTAGTATTCCCCTGTCGTCCTCTGAACGAAACCTGCTGTGTGCAAGACTCTAGGACGCATCGTGTGTGAGCTCTACAGAGTTGCTGTTCAGACAGGGGCCCTCCCGTACGAGCACAAGTACTCGGACCAGTGCTAGTACTGGTACTAGTACTGGTACTGGTACCAGTACTGGTCCTAGGACTAGTACTAGTACTAGTACGGTACTACGACTACTACTAGTGATACTAACCTAACAGTAGTGCTACTAATAAGCAAAGTAACGATGCGACACTAGACAGCATCAGACCAATTCCCATAAGTACAGACTTAAAACAGCTGTTCGAGAGGGGCGTGTGGTGGGCACCAGTTCTTGCCTATCTAACAATGCGAGGCTCTTCATTCCATTCGCCGGCTTTTTCATCCCCATTGACATGGCGCCTGGACTGAACATTGGGGATTGGTTCAGGACTTTGCAGACCGGTTGAGAGTCTAGCTGTTTATAGTAGACTTTAGGGTCTGCATCTACGACCTAAACCTTCGAACCGCAAGCTGAAGCATGAATCTCACGCAGAATTTGCCTGAACACGGAGTGAATTAAGGATCCCCCGGCCAGGATCCAGGCTAAATCTGGACTCCTGCACTCCCGCTCTTGAAGCATCAGAATTCCACACTCCATGTCAGGTGATGCCGCGAGTGGCCACTGGCTTCATCTCCTTCCTCTCGCTGCAGGTCTTCAGGCCTATCCGTGGGTATTTTCGAACTGATTCAGGGGGGAAGCGCTGAGGCAGGGCGAGCCCTTGCTGTACGAACAACCCGCCTGCCCAAAGGACCCGCGAAGTAGTAGGAGCCCCTTCGTTTTCCAAGCACAGTATCAAGCGATAGTGGTTCAGTGATAGGGTCCGATAGGGCCCGAGTCAGGTGATGAGCAATCTTGCTCTCATTTGATGTAGCGCTCAAGGCTTTGCATGGCTTTAAACACCACAACAGTGTCCCGCGGACAGTTCTGGAAGATTGGGGCTGTGGATTCTTGAGCTCACAGTCCGAATGCTGGGATGGTCAAAAGAGTCGCAGGATTGTCAACAAAATCGAGCCTATCCTCGTGTAGGATGTCTGAAGAGACAGCTTAGCTTGTCAAGGTACCCAGAAGAGCAGATGCCTGCAATGAATCTCACCTTGGAAGGACCTTGGCGTACTCGATGATCCCGAAGCAGACATCCTCCTTGCTTTGGATGGATGTGCCTCATCTAAAGCTTCGATGCATGGTTGTACTACTGACGAGCGGCGGCATCATTCTGATTGCTTTTCTTGCTGATGTTGGCGATGGAATTGGTCGTAGTGATGATGATGGCCATGAGTATGGTGATGATGTGCCTGGTCATATCTAAACACTCACCAAGAGGACTGGTTTCGAGTCGAGGAGCCTTGGGTGGGCCTTCGGGTTGCGGGCCTTCTCGTAAATGGCCATGCAGTCCTTCGGAGTTCGCGAGCTTACGTATCTCCGGTGTCGATTCTGCGGCCTCGAACGATGTTAGGTCTCAGGTGTCTAGGGTTCACTGCCTGGTCTAAAGTATTGTTTGCGGGGGGGGCCTGAACCCCGATGCTGTGACCCAGGTCACGATGTTCTGCGTTACGGTGATCATGTTTGCCAGTGTCCTGGAGAATGTCCTCGCGCAGGCAGGGAGCCTCTAAACTCTAAACTCTGAGGCCTAAATCCGACCAATCCTTGGGGGCCCGAAGCTAGGTGCCACCCAGTGGACTGTGGGGCTTGTCACGTTAGTTTTTCTTGAGTAGGAACAAATTGAGAAGAGGGATGGCTCAGTCGCTCTTCGCTTTTTACCTTTTTCACCGCCAGGAAGGGCTGGACTCCCATCCCTCGAGAGACCCCCGTAGAAAGCTCTCCGGCTTTGGGGAAAAGGGAATCTTGAAGGTTTAGGATACAGTCCTGAGTTCTGGACCTGCAAACCTCACCTTAAGCTTCTTTAGCCATGCCAGAGGCTATGCGTGCCACGGTGTCGACATACTCGGCTCGCTTCGTGGATGACGTCTCCCGGGTCAGCTTCCCGCTGGTAGGCTCGGCCTCAGGATTCTCAGTACGGCCGAAAGCCTGAACCCTAAGCCACGGAAGATTCCCCAAGTCTTTAGACAAGCTTAAATGCGTCTTCGTGCAAAATCACGTTCTTTGCGTGCACTAGAGCCAGCGCTGCTAAAGATGTGTGACAGATGCTTGGAGTCACAACATGTCGGTGCTTCAATGGCTGAACATGCTTTGGCGTCCTGTACTTCCGTGCTTCCGAAGAATGCAATTACATGGACGGACGAACCGGAATCAAGAGACTCTGAGAAACTGGGAGCATGTGCAGGGCCCCGCAGTGTTGTTCCACACAACCGCTGCGATATGCACATATGCATTCTCTGGAATCACACTCGCATTGAAATTCGTCGTGGAAGCACAGAGGTGCTGCGGCCTGTAGCATGTGTAGCAGTCGACTGCACAGAGATGCGGAAACTGAGCTCAAGTATGTTCCGAGCAAGAAAATCATGATTCAGCGCATCTGCAGTAAGAAAAACATCTCTGCCAGACTTGTTGAGATCGAGGCTCTCTGGGATGTTGTCCAAGTGAAGCTTTGCGGGGGTTGGCTTTCGTCTTTTGCTTGCATGCTGGCTGGGCTACAGGCGGACGCCTCGTGGCCGCGAATTTTGTCCGTCCTGCTTTCCTGACCTGTCAGACGCCGATTTCCCAGCCCGTAGGTTTCACTGTGCAGGTGTCGTGGTGCTCACGGTGCTTTTTGTCATGGGTGCGGCAAACATTGACACAACGTGGCACCGCAGATGCATTATGTTCGGTCTTCAATGCCAGCACTGGCACTTGCCGGAGCGGCAGTGGTGGCATTCGTTGTCGTTGTCCTCGTCGCTTGCTTTGCCGTAGCTGTAGCGACAGTCATCGTCATCGTCGTGCTTGTAGAGTTAGTAACATAGCAGTGGTCTCCTGCTCCTGCTAGTGCTAGTGCTAGTTTTAGTGTTAGTGCTAGTGCCAGTGCTGCTGCTGCTGCTGCTGCCGCCTCTGCTGCTGCTGCTATTACTACTGCTACTACTGCGACAACTACCACTCCTCCTCGTGCTACTACTACTACTACTACTACTATCACCACTACTACCACCACTAGTACCACCACTACTACCACCACCACCACCACCACCACCACCACCACCACCACCACCACCACCACCACCACCACCACCACTACTACTACTACTACTACTACTACTACTACTACTACTACTACTACTACTACTACTACTACTACTACTACTACTAGCCATACGAATGACACGTAACAGATTGGAGCTTGAATCCGAAAGAGCTCCATGCTGGCAGCCTGCTTCGCAGTGATGATTCCTATGGAGTCTGTTCTGAACTGGAGCCCCGGCAATTTGAAGCAGAGGATCATGATCGTCGCTCTCTGCATCACATGTGGTTGGCTGGTTGCATTTGGGGCTGCCGTGTTTCTCTACGTGCGTGCCTTGGCCTGGTTGTTTTCTGTGAGCCCGAACAAGAGCCCGCCAAGAAACTTCAACACACTGCTCGGGGACCTCAGACCGAAGTGCGCATCTGGCGTAGGATCTGGGATACGGATTTGGGGATCTCGTTGCTTCCGGAGTGGCGTTGTATCGTGGGATGAAGGATGCCTGTAGTTTTACGCAACCCGGCTCTGATCCCTGGTTTTTTGAGGATATCTCCCTCACCGGCTGATGAGCATCCTGATCCGGCAGATCTCCTCCTCAGCACCTCGGCTGTACCAAGGTCCTCCTCCTTCAGCCCGAAAGTTTGTGCGCTTTATCGTTGCGGTTATCACTGCTGCTGTTGTTATTGTGATTAAAGAGATTTAGTTTCTTCGTACAAATATTCTAGTATCAACGTCATCCTCAGTCTTCGTATTTTTGGGGACTTCTAACTTATACTCTCGAAATCCCACACCCGGCCTCAACTGAAGACCGTGTTCTTTTGAGCTATGGGGTCCCTGAGGCCTGAGGCTCGGCGATTTTTGGCTTCAACCAACATAAGTCGCAGGCTTGTCTGGGTGGTAGCGCGTCTGGTGGATTTAGGGCCTTGGAGTTTGGATTTAGGGCAGCGAGGTTGAGAGTTACGAATTCTGTGGGGGAACCGTGTTGTTGAGCCTGCTGCAAACGGTTCCCAGCTGCGCATAGAGGATCTCAAGCCCCTGACGAACTACAGCAGCAGTCGTAGACAGAACTGAGTCGGGGGATGAACCTTCCACTGGAAGCGTATCTTCCTCTGAACCTGAAGACCCGTAACACATCTCGACACCTCGAAGCCAATCCATGGCAGCAGGAGTGTGAACCCAACCGAACCCCAAATGCCCCAAACCCGAAGTGAAACCTCAACCCGAGACCTCGAAGCCTTAACTTCGGACGGTGGAGCTGGCTCTCGTCCCCCAGCCCCTTTGCCCAGGACTTCCGATACCAGAAGGCCATGGTCCTTGACCAGACCCTCTGGCGCAAGGCATTCGTTTCCGGGTCCCGTGTGGGAAAGTACCCTTGGCGGGGTCGAGTGGAGCGATGCCGCGCAGATGGACAGCCACCCACAGTTCTTGTCGCACTCCACGTATGCCGTACCAAAGGCCCCAACGGCCCCACCTAAAAAAATTTAGACAATCGAAAACACCAAGGCCCAAATGGTAGGACTTCTGTTGGCTTTGGAGCCTTTGCCTCGGAGGCTATGGGGGTGTCAGTATAAAGGAGGGCTTTATTGAGTTATCTACGGGTTTGTTGAGGTGTTGGAGCTGTTTCTTTGGGGGCTTGGGGTTGGTTGGCAGCGGTTTTGAAACGTGTTTGCCAGCAAGGGCTTTACAAGGGGTTCCGGAGTTAACTGGGTGTAGACTTAGAGCTCTTTGGGTTTCTCAAAGCATCTTAGAGGGCTTATCCTTGAGGTTCGAGGCCAGGGCCTTGGCTTGGCCAGCCTTTAGGCTTGCAGACCGCATTTATCAACGCCTGAAAAACCCCCAAGGAAGCACAAACCCTCCAAGGAAAGAGCTCGCGCTGATCTTTCGCACCTTTGACGACGACGGCACCGGTGACCTCAGTGCCGAGGAGGTACGCCAAGAGGGGTTGGGTTTATTTGGGTTCATTAGTTTTGTAGGCTTCTTGTCTTTAGGTTAAGGCTTTCTTGTTTTTTTTTTGCAGGGTTTTGAATTTTTGCACTATCATGCAGTGTCGTTCACGTAGGTTGCAAGGGTTTTGGACAGTAGGTTCGCGGGGTTCCAAGAAGTTTGACAGCGCTGTATTGGCCTTCAGAAGAATAATTATTTGCAGAGCTTATAAGCTCGCAGGGTCTGGGGTTTGGACTTCTAGAGTCTGCAGGTTTTCTGACTTCAGGAGCCTAGAACTGCAGACGTGCTTAGGCCAACCAGACCATTTATTATCCAGCCTAAGAGACGCCGCCAATGAACGATCACATTCGGCACAGGAGCCAAGCCGAACCGTAAGAACCCAACGGCATCGCAAGCCAGCCCAGGGCCAACACTAAGCTCAGCAAAGCACATGCCAGAGCACTAAGAACAAGGGCGTGGCGCCAGGTCAACCTGCTGCTGCCACTAAATCCTGACGGCATGGCACACTCGCCCCGCTCAGGTCATCGAGAGCTTCGAGGCGCGAGGCCTTCGCTTCAAGGACATCCGTGCTGGATTAAAGGGGGCCTCTGCTTGCAGCACGTCGGCAGTTCTAGTGCCGATGAGTTGAATGTTTCGGGTACTTGTATCTGTCGTCGGGACGGAGCAGTCTGCTGCTGTAGGTGGGGCTCCAGGGGTGTTTCGGACCGCGCCGAGAGAAGTCGCTCGGCCTCGATTCCATGTCCTAAACTCGAGGATCAGGAGGACGAGATGAACTTCAAGACTCGGTTGAAGCGCTTCGGCCTGCTTGACGGAGTTGGGGTCGGTTTGGGGGGGCTTTCGCAATTGGTTTCCAATATCTCCTCGTCGTCGCTGTCATTGTGGGTAACATTGTTGGGCATCAAATCACCATCATGGGTTTCACACTGCTGTTACCGCTAGGGCGACAGAGCCGGATTCAAAAACTGCATCTGGAGGAAGATTCGGAGGCCATGTAGGAACAGTCGGCACAAAGCGGTCTACAAGTACGAAGTGACAGTAAGTGGCATATGGGGCTGAGCACCGGTGCATTCCCTGAAACATCCCGGAGCCGGCTCGAGTTTGAGCAAAAGGAAGGCTTAAACCACTAAGGCAGCAGCCCCACTCCTACGAAGTCCTTGATCACCGTCTGCGACCACTAGGACACGCGAAGCATCACAGCCAATAGGAAACCCCTAGAACCTAGATCCGAAATTCGTTGCACCTGTGTCCCAGTCTCTGCTCTTGAGGCAGATGTTCCGTCAAAAAGGTGGAAACAGGCCTGCCCCGGTGTCGTCCTGTTCATTGCAAAGTAGCATGCGTGGCAGACATAGTAGTCAGTGTAGCCATCAGTGTTACGACGGGTTTAGGGAGTCCAGAAGGGTGTCATCCCCTGCATAACTTCACACAATGCATCAAGCAACAGAAGGTTCTGGCTTGCTGAGACCACCATAAAGTCCGTCAGGCTAGACAGACCAATGTTCACCCTGGCAGGAGTATGCAAGACAAAAATGATTGTCCTACCGCTGCTGCTGATACTACCAGGCTTTTGCTGCTACTAATGCTACTACTACTACTACTACTACTACTACCACTACTACTACTACTGCTACTACTACTACTACTACTACTACTACTACTACTACTACTACTACTAGCTACTCATCCTGGTGCTGCTACTACCACTACTTCTGATACTGCTGCAGCTACTACTACTACTGCTGCTGCTGCTACTACTACTACTACTACAATACTGTGACCGCCCCAAATGCCCATTTCATATGCCTGATCGACACAAGCCAATGTCACCTAAAGTATCCGAAAATCCGCATTTATCCCAAACCTGAGAGCTCGAAACCCTCAACCCCAAAGGGAACCTAAACAGAGGATGCAAGGTTTTGTGTCCATGAGCAGTAGAATCGAATCGGGAGGCTAGACCTGAACGCGTTTTGCCACCACTTCGGTGAACTTTTCAGGCACGTGTTCTTGTTTTGCGAGAGGGTGGGGCGGTGCAGGGTGGACTTCGGGTGCTCGGGTTATAGGGTTTGCGTTTTGCAGGGTTCAGGCCCCGTTGGGTTTATGGGATTTACGAAGCCGACGGTCTCGTCTTGTCGAAGTGTCGTTTCCATGTGCCTGGTGGGTTCGTGGGGAGGCTGAGGGTTTGTGGGCATGGATTGAAGATGTTCGAAGTAAACCTTGCACCTGAAAGTTTAAGTCATAACCCTCGAACATGAAGCTTGAGCCCTGGCCCTGACCTTGAGTCTCAAGCCTGAGGTGCTTTGGGTTACGCTTCCGGGTTTAGGGCCAGGACTTCGTAAGGGCTGCCTTGTGCCTGTGCACCAGCAGCAGTAGTAGTAGCAGTAGTAGTTGCGGTAGCAGTACTAGTAGTAGTAGCAGTAGCAGGAGCAGTAGCAGTAGCAATAGTAGCAGTAGCACTCCCAGTAGCAATGGCAGTGGCAGTGGCAGTGGCAGTGGCAGTAGTAGTAGTCGTCGTAGTAGTAGTAGTAGTAGTAGTAGTAGTAATAGTGGTAGTAGCCGTAGTAGTAAGTAGTAGTAGAAGTAGTAGTAGGTAGTAGGGAGGAAGTAGTAGGTAGCAGGTAGCAGGTCGCAGGTAGTAGGTTGTAGGTCGTAGGTCGTAGGTCGTAGGTCGTAGGTCGTAGGTCGTAGGTAGTATGTGGTTGGTGGTAGGCGGTAGGTTGTTGGTAGTAGGTAGTAGGTAGTAGGTAGTAGGTAGTGGTGGTGGTAGTAGTAGTAGTCGTCGTCGTCGTAGTAGTAGTAGTGGTAGTAGTAGCAGTAGCAGTAGCAGTAGCAGTAGCAGTAGCAGTAGCAGTAGCAGTAGCAGTAGCAGTAGCAGTAGCAGTAGCAGTAGCAGTAGCAGTAGCAGTAGCAGTAGCAGTAGCAGTAGCAGTAGCAGTAGCAGTAGCAGTAGCAGTAGCAGTAGCAGTAGCAGTAGCAGCAGTAGCAGTAGCAGTAGCAGTAGCAGTAGCATCAGCATCAGCAGTAGCATCAGCAGTAGCATAGCAGTAGCAGTAGCAGTAGCAGTAGCAGTAGCAGTAGCAGTAGCAGTAGCAGTAGCAGTAGCAGTAGCAGTAGCAGTAGCAGTAGCAGTAGCAGTAGCAGTAGCAGTAGCAGTAGCAGTAGCAGTAGCATCAGCAGTAGCATCAGCAGTAGCAGTAGCAGTAGTCGTAGTAGTAGCAGTAGCATCAGCAGTAGCATCAGCAGTAGCAGTAGCAGTAGTCGTAGTAGTAGCAGCAGCAGCAGCGGCAGCAGCAGTGTTTTGTTTTTCGTGCTTCACAACTCGAAAACCAAGTCCTAAACCCTTGACAGCTCTCAGGCCCCACCGCAAACCCTCTATCCTCAACGGCAAAAACCTAAACGCAAACGCTTCAACCTCAAAGTCGAAGCTCTTGAGCCCGAAGCCCTCAACCTTCCACCCTTCAACTCTAAAGCCCAATCCCTTCAACAAGAAACACTGTATTTCAAGATACCACGCTGTCGACCTCGACTCTGCGCCTCCTACGGATGGGCTCGCAGCTGCAAAGGAGGTCGTCCAGCAGGCGGCCGGGCCTTTGATCGGAGTTGGGCTCTCGTATACCTGTAGGCGCCTTAGTCATTAGGACAGGGTTTGGAGGTATCGATATATGGACTGCAGGGCGATGTCATTCGTTAATTGCCTCCTGGTTTTGCGAGAAATCTCTGGTTGGTATGGAATCACTCAAAGCCTAAATCTGGTGGTTACAGTTGCAGAGCTGCAGAGCACCAATCCCTCGGGTGCAAGTTGTGGAGGTTTTGGTTTTAGCAGAGGTGAGGGTATGTTTCGGATTCGGGGAGAAAGCGAACCAGAGGTTCGGTTCCCCAAGCTTACTGTCAAAAGAGATGGATACACAACTTACACAGGATATGCAAAGAACATGATCACGCCAGGTTATCTTTCCTTCCTAAAGTTGGAGTGCAGGAAGAAAGCCAGGAAGACAACACGAGGAACGAAGGAAGCCCCGAAACGCAGGGAGGAACGAAGCCATCGTCACTGCCACTGCCACAGCCATCGCCGCGGCCACTGCCACTGCCACGGCAACTGCTGCTACTGCTGCTACTGCTCCTCTTATTGCACTACTACTGCTGCTACTTCCTTCGATGACGATGACTGCTACTTCCGCCTTTGCTACCTCGACGACGACGACTGCTTCTTGTCCTACTACCACGACGACTACTACCACAACTACTACTACCCCAACTCCTACTCCGAGACCCACCACACCGCTGCCTATTTACTGCCGACTGGCCGCTGCTTGCTGACGACTTTCTATCCCCAGCTCTACCTTCTAGCAGTCTAGCAGAGTCTAGCAAACTGCATTCAGAGTGTGTGCTGACGTGGCAGGAGTCCTTCGGGTCCCAGAACTCCTTTTTCGGCGTCTAGGGCCAAGGGCCTCGAAGAAGGCTTCGATGGCTGTTTGGGGAGCTCTCGGATTGGCAAAGCCATCCGAAATAGCCCCAACTTCTCGGTGCGACACGGGTGTGCCAGGCAACTAAAACAACACCAGAAACGCGCAAGCCAGTCTGGGGTTTCGGGTTTCGAGTTAAGCAATGCCAGTTCTTTTTGGAAATCCCGGAAGTTCGACGTCAGTGGCAAGTTGCATCTGACAGTCTTAGACTTAGCAAGAAACGGTTCTGCGGAGTTCGGGTTGAGAGTGACTCGGGTTTCGTCGTGTTCAAGGCAGAAGGCTTTGACGGTTTCGGCGATTTGTGCAGGGCTTGCGCCTTTGCGGTTCGAAAACCAATGAATCCAGAAGTTAAATAAAATTAAATCTTGATTTAAGTGTTCGGTTTTGACATACTTTGGACCTTCCAAAGACACAATTAAATCGGGTTGTAATTGTGTCGGTATGCATTTCTCTAATAAACAATTAAATCATGAGTTTATTGTCTCCTGTGTGCCAGTATATTCTACCAGAGACTTGTGTGCAATACGCTCGGGGGATATCACATTGAATCATGATTTAATTGCAGAATTTGGTGTCCTTCTGGGTAACCAGCAGTAATGTAGTTGGTTCCTATCACGGTCCAAGACTTATAGCCTAAATAAGTCGATCGCCACACTAGCGGGAATCCACGTTCAATCATGATCTAGTTGCCGAATTCGTCCTCCTTGGTAACCACCAGGAATGCAGTTGGGGTTACTATCACGGTCCAAGGAATTTTAGCCTAGATGAGTAGATCGCCACAGTAGCGGGATACCACATTAAATCATGATTTAATTGTGCAATTTGGCGTCCTTCTTGGTAACCACCAGTAATGTAGCTGGTTCCTATCACGGTCCAGGGAAAGCTAGCCTAAATAAGTAGACTAGTTTAGTCTAGTCTGCTCGGTTCTAGTCTGTAGCCTACTCTAGTCTACTCCAGTCTACTCCAGTCTACTCTAGTCTCGTCTAGTCGGGTCGAGTATGATCACGCCTCCGCCTTGCCTCCATTCATCTCTTTGGGGTCCACCCATCATCATTGTCAACGCCATGGACCGCCATTTCGATGCCACCGAAACTGTCCTCTGAAATTTTCTCTTGCTCAAGATCTTGCTTCTCCTTCTCGGGCTGTCATCTACCATAGCTCGCTGTAACAACACAGTGCCTCTTAGGGACGCGTCCGGTAGACACGCCTGCACACAATGCAGTAGACAAACAAGCATGCGGACCGTGCATCTCACCTTAAACCTTGAGCCTGAAACAAGGATCCTGCGAGGCAGTTACATGATGATCTAATTGTTGCGTTCTTGCCAACTGTTCGAGTTGATTTAATTGTTCCAGATTTGGTTATTGATTCAAAACAGTTAAATCATCATTTAATTGTCGCCTCGGGTTCGGATAGTGTAGCAGAAAGAATTAAATCATGATTTAATTGTGCCGTGTAGGAGCAGGACAGGCGTGGAATTGAGCGTGGCGCAACGTTCAGGGCCAATTAAATCAGAAGTAAATTCTGCGGGCCAAGGCGGCCCGATGCCGGGCAATAAACTCGGGAGTTAATGGTTTTTAACTCTTGGATTCACTGCCTTCCTTTGCGGTTCTGTGACGTAGGCAGGATGAAAGACTTTATGCTATGATGCAGCTTTGTGTTCGGGGTTTCTGAGTCTGCCGCATAGCAAACGAGGACCACGCCCGCACACGTGCCACCACACATTGAAAAGCAGCCAGTTGAATCCCACAGCCGTAAGCGCTTCAGTCCAAAGTCCCGAATCCCCACACCGTAAAACTTGAAACTCCGACCGTTAGACCCTGCAATCGGAGCTTCCTGCACCCAGCAAGTTTCTTCTTGTAGCTCCTGTGTCGGAAGGTTTTTTGTCGGCTTTGAGGGTTCAGGATTTGTGGGCATGACGTGGCAACTTATCACTGCAAGCCCTGGGCCCAAGCCCAAACTCTGCACCCAAAGCCCTAAAGAGCCTCAACCCTCCCCGGTGAAATCTCTTGCTAAGTCCCGGCTCCCTCACCACGGTCGCCCGCGGCGCCGCGGCCACCGCCTAGGCGGCAGAGGGATCTGTAGGCGGAGGGGTGTAGGGTTCATAGAAGGGAGTGGGGTCTGGGCCTGGGACTTGAGAGCATTCGCGCTTAGGGATAAAAGGTTTCAGGGATGAAGATTCAGGTTTTGGGGTCCAGGGTTTCAGGGTTGAGGATTCAGTGTCGACGGATTTAGGTGGCGGGGTCGGGTTTAGTGTGTCAGGGTTTGTGGTCTTGGGGTTGAGGTCATGTTTATGCAAAGGCCTTGTTTGTGGGCTTAGTATGTTCTCTGTACTGCGAGGACGTTTGAGCATCCCAGGTACTGCGCAGTAGAAGCCGCCAACGAAGCCCCGTTAAAACTGACCACAGCTATCCGTTGTCCTGACTTTATGGATCTCGCAGTCATGCGGAAACATTCATGCCCATGTAGACATAGTGCGTTAAACGAGTTTTATAGTCAGTAAGCCAACAACTGGCAGACCCAAGCTGTAATGTCCTCGCAGAGGGTTTTAACGGGCCCAGGCGTCGGAAAGTAACGACTGCCGCGAAGGCACCCGGGTAAGAATGCACGAAGGGTGTTGGCCTTTGGGGTTTAGCACTCAATCGGTCAGAGCTTTCAGTTGAGGTAGCTGCGAGTCTTTGAAGGAAGCTGGGTGCAGCTTTGAATTTCTGGTTTGGGCCTGTTTTCCAAGAGCAAGGGCTCAAGCTGAGCTTCGGCTGCGTAAATGGGGTCATAAGGTCTAGCTTGTAGAGCCTTGACTTTCCTGTCTCGGGCTGAGCTTTCGGGTAGCATTGCGATTCAATCTCGAAATCAACCCCAAGGTCTTGACGCCTTAAACATGGTGGCCAGAACACTTCGCAGTACTGCTGGGGTTCTAACTTATTGGGTATCCTGATACAGCTACAGTATCTGTGGCACTCTGACGCGGCTCTGACTCCAAGCCCGCAAAGCGCCAAGAACACCAAAGCGCTAAACATCTGAAAGCCCCTAGACCTGACACAACTTCTTGAGTTTAGTGCGCAGAAGCTGCAAGGCCCTCTCGGCCCGGAGAGCCTTCTTGTAGAACACTTAAAAAAACATCTAAATGGCAAAAGAAGCCGCAGAGGACTGGAGACAAAGTTCAATCGTTAAATCCCAAACTCAAAATCCTGTAAGGCACCTTATAAGAGACCCTAAACCCTAAACCCTAAACCCCCTTATGAACATGGAGAGAAACCGACCCCCCAAGGCGGCGCCGGCCCAGAGGAGTCCGACCTCCCGCAGCAGCCACGGAAATTGCGCTTTGCTGGGGACATCGGGGGAGTCTCAGAAAATTGGGGGTATCTTATTTTGGGGTCCTTAAAATCAGGATTTTACAAGTACTATTTCGGATGCTAGCCCCCTAGTTTCAGGAAGTCAGTGGTTTTGAACGCAGGTTCTGGGACTTGGCGATCTACTTCAGGGTGTTGCTGGGTTTAATGCGGGCTTCTCCAGGCTACGGGTGCCCTTCTACGTGGGGAGGCCAAAACACCTGTGGTGCTGGAGTGTTTCCTTTGGTTCTCCGCAAAGGTTAGTGTTGGCGGACGTCGCGTGCAGGTTCTTCAATCGGCGTTACGAGGCTGAAATTGCAGCGTTTCCCTAGTTTAGGGCTAAGAGTATCGAACCCTGAACAATCCCTGCACTGATCCCTTATATCGCCGGCCTCGTCCTGCTGGCTCAGCGCGCGACGCCCCTCGCCAGTTCAAAAACTTTCGAGCCTTTCGCCGATCTTCGCAGCCATGCGTGAGGCCATCTGCATCCACATCGGCCAGGCGCGAGCATGTGGAAGGTACGAGCAGTGGAAGCCTCACAAACCGCAAGCGATGCTGTTGAATTGAAACCTGCAGGGTGGCGTGCAGATCGGAAACGCCTGCTGGGAGCTCTTCTGCCTGGAGCATGGCATCCAACCGGATGGTCAGATGCCCAGCGACGCTCGCCAGCAGGCTTGAGAGGCACATCTTTCGTTGCAGGGCGCGGCACGAGGCTCAGTGTGGTGAAGCTCTGGACCCTGAAACATGAAATTAAGGACAAGACCATCGGTGGTGGAGATGCCCCTTGCTTGTGTTGACAAGTTTTGTGCAGGGCACGAAGCTTTGCACCTGGGTCTAGCTTCAAGTGGTAGGAGAACATCAGCGAAATCATGCTGGATGCACCTGTGAGGATGCATTTAATACTTTCTTCTCGGAAACGGGCGCTGGAAAGCATGTCCCTCGCTGCGTCATGGTGGACTCGAGCTCAGTTGATTCTTTAATGCTGCTGTACACATAAGATGTCATGCCAGTGTTCCCAGCCAGAGTGGTTCCCTTGGTAGTGTTGGAAAGACATTTAGCTGGCAGGAGACTTCAGCTTCTCTGCAACACGCGCGAGGGAGTTTTTGCATCTTTCTTACGATCATGGAGAGGCTAGTATGATGATGATGATGCGGAGGAGGACTGAAGAAGAACGCAGGTTGGTACTTGCATGAATGAGGAAGCGCAGGAGAAATAGAGGCAGCAAGAGCGGTGATGAAGACGACAATATCAACGAAAATTAGACGACGAAGAACCCCCGATGCCATCCGGCAAGCGTGCAGCACGACTGCAAGAGTTCAAAGACCTTCTTTGAGCCTTCTGCCGCGGGCCTTGATGACCATGCATTGTCGGCAGTTGCGACAAAATTTAATTTTGCATTGACAGCAACGGTACAGTTACAACAAAAATATACCACCACATCGGGGGGGGTGGATCATTTGCGAGGCCGCCGAGGCGAAAGCTTGGGGTCGCGATTTTCCGGGCCACCTCGGCCACTAAGGATGAAGGTTTTCCCTTCTCCGCTCCTGCCTTTCCCCCGTTCCCCTTTCTTTTTGGTTTGGGGGTAGGTCCGGGTAGGTAGTGTCAACAACTTTTCTCTCTACCCAACCACTGGGAGGATGCAGCCA